TGTGAAATACTATTTTAAAGTACTAAACATTCAGTTTTGACTAAAAGAAAATTAGACACATTTGCTTATGCATTTATTCTGCCAGAAACCCAACACAAGAAGCATAGTAAAATATCCCATAGGTTGTGAGGGAACTAACTGCCATGTATGGACAGAAACAAGAAGCTGGTCCAGGATGGCTGTCATCTGATTTTGATATTAGAAAGTAAAAAAAATTCCTTATGGAACGACTTGACGAACCTTGAATGACCGACTCCACAGTAATTTTAAGAGTGCAAAGAGTCTCAGAGAGACCCTGCAAATCCTGGTGCAAAATCAGCAACTAACACCACGGGAGATAAAAACCTATATTCACAAGGAACCTTACACGAGAGCTCATCAACCCTACGGAAAGATGTGCATGAAAGCTCTGTGTATTTAGATCTTTTCATTGTTTTGACCTCAAGACCTTACATTGCTCAACAGGTACATTTTAAAAGATGGTACAAACTCCAAAGCTGACATTTGGGACTGAAGTAGTAAAATCTTGCAAACTTCTCTGAGAAGAGATTTCAATGCGTGATTAATCCTGAGCACACTTACAGTATACATATATCAATATCTATATAATTCTAGCTGAATGTATTCATAAATATAAGAAATTCAACAGAAATGAGGGGATTTTTATGATCATAACATTATCCTTTACTATAAATCTGAAATTAGTTTAAAAATTCTCTATACATTACACTACTGGTAGCCTGAAAATAATTTTGCAGCTTTTACTAAGCTAGAAATACAGGGTATAAAATAAACTGTTTGTAAACCTGCTCAGCACTTGCAAAACTTCCACCATCCAGTAAAATCTGATGCCAAATCAACCTGATATCACTCTCATTCATAGCTTCATACACACTTGTGTAATCTTGGAGTGCTACAGCACACTGTTTCACTCTTAAGTAAGCAGTAAGCCAACCCATAAAAACACAGTTTCTGACTGCGGGCAGCTGTTTTCTATAATAACTGATATTAACTAATTAACCAATTTCAACAGGATTGTGTAAATGGTTCCATACATGGTATGACAACATTAAGGCACTAAAATGAGAAACTTCTATATATGGAGATTTAGGTGAGCCAAAAATAAATAAAGTTTGCTTTGCTGCTACTTTTGTTTTCTGTTATCAAATCATAGCTATAAAACATTAAATCCAAAATTTTAAGAGTTAAATCTGGTTACTTTATGAATGATAAATTTTAAAAACAGACTTTTTTCTGTATTAGAAAAGTAATTTATAATAAGAGTTTCACCTAAATGTTTAAGGAATTGCTCTGCAAAATGAAGCATCACACTCAGCAGTTTTTTTTTCATCTTTATTATAACTATGCAACAACAAATCCCCTCTTCCTTGTCTCCACATGCAAGCAATGTGTTTCTCCTTAATTGCTTCTTAATTCAGCACATCACATAAGCATTAGTCAACAATGTGCCATTCAGAAGTGCTAATCAGAATATTTAGTCTAAAAGATTCATCTGTAGCATCTTCTATAAGGCTTCCCCTTTTAATTCTCAAATAAAATTATCACTAATGATAGTTTGGTGGTCTACACAGCAGACTAGACATAACAGCCACAGCAGAGCAGCAAAACTCTTCCACAGTCAGGAATGCACTGTTCTATATTAAGAAAATATTCTAATACATTATTAGTCATGGAATGGTTCTGCAAGCCTGAAAAGCTTAAAAAAAAAATAAAAGTCATAAGAAGCTGAATTTCCGTGCTAATAAATTTGGTACCAAGATCAGTAAGCGCGAGTAAACATAAAAGAGATCATTACTTTAGAGGAATTACTCTGTCATTCAAAGAATGATTAAGGCGTGGTAGAACTGAGGATGAATACAGAAAAAATAGAGCCTCTTTATATCTGATGTAGGCAAAAAACATTGCCCACTTTGTAGTCTCTTGTTTGCAAAAAGACATGCAGGACCACAGTACTCCCAGTCAAACTCAAGAGAGAAATTCCATTACCCACGCTCCAAATTAAACTCTTCCAATTCATGTTTTATTTAAAACAAAATTAGTATTTTTAATGATGCTGTGCTTATTCAAACTTAAAGGAAACAGAGTTTTCCATTGTTGGCTAAACATATCCATAATATTCAAATAAACTTAAAAGGTGCTACTTACTTTTTTGTTTATACAAAAGAACTAATTTAAGATATCACATACACCTGCTTTAAAAGGGAACCGTGTAGGCTTGCTGCATTCTCACCTTGCAGGCTTGGTCCCGAATCTGCAGACTGTGCAGGATTTAGTGCCCAATGTAGCTGACGTTGAAACTCAGGTCTGTCCTCTGTGTGAATCAATTCAAATACACTCTGGTGTATAATATCTGACTATGTACAGAAAGGAAAAAGGAGACTAGTATATAAAACATATCTGACAGTATCATGGAAGTTATCATGTTGACACCATTTCTAATGGCATAGCAAAATCCTTTTTGCTCAAGGGATAAAAACATCTATTTGCACGCACACGGAGAAGCTTTCTGAAGCAATTTTTAACAACCCAGAGAAATACTCAGTCATGCCAATGTCTGCAAACATGAAAAATAATACTGCAAATATTAACTTACAAAAATAACGGTAAGCTCTTCTTCCCCTGTTTTATCACGTTTTTATCTTATCTTTATCTTAAACTCAGAAGTGCTATGCTGAGAGTTTTGTTGTTGTTATTGATGTTTAATTATTTCATTTTGCATGCTAGTAAACAAAGTATTTGCCAGCTGGAACTTGGCCCTGACCCATTCTCCAGGCGCTCTGGGAATACAAAAGAAGCCAAACACCCTGAACCAAAGAACTTCTCACTCTAAGACAAGAAAATTACGCATGTTGGTTTTGTTTGGCTCAAAGTTTGGTTACTCCTTAAGGACGTATTAAAATCTGTACTTATTAAGCTCTCATATCCCAACTGCTTGTGTGCTTATGTATGTTATCTGAGATCTGAGTGACAAAGTTACAACATTCAGACCCAGCAGATGAAAGAAATTAGGAGGGAGGAAAAAAAAACAAAAAAACTCAAGAAAATAATTAATTCTGATGAAACCGAGAAGAATTTAATTATTTGTTTTCTGCATGAATCAAAAAAAAATCAATTATACATAAAACACAAAATACCTAAAACATAGATCTATGGAAATTATGATGATATGGCAAAAGCAGGAGCCCGGCTCAAATCTTGCTTTCATGTATTTTCAGAAAAAAAAAAAAAAAAAAAAAGAATTATTATTTTGGTGATTTCAAGACTTTGTTTTTATATCACACACTCTATTGGCATTTCTAAATAAACACCATGCCAATTTGTCTCCCTGTATTTTCTCTTCAATCCCCGACAAGTGAAAAATTGGTAACCTAAAGAATAGTAATGTTTTGTTTGGAAAAAAAATCACTTAAGACAACATTCCCCAAACTCTCATCAACTGGCTAAAAATACAAGCACTGTTTCTCCCTGTTTTCAGACAGCAACTTCATCTGTCGTTATCCAGTACCCAACAGCACTGATATTTATTGATAACTGTAGGTGTGGAATATTTTACCATGGAAGTGAAGCAAGTACAAATATATTTGACAGAGGCTGTGTCCATGGTTGCCCTGACAGGTCACTTATAATTCAGAGTATTAAAAAAAAGAAAACAGATATCAAAGGACAAATTATTCAAATATCAATTGATCCAAATTTGCCCTATCTGAACCACAGAAGTAAGAATCACAACAGTTTGTGTTGTCTTAATACAAGCTAATTCTGGGAGTTCTCTGAGAAATGCATTAATGCCTTCTGGATCTCGGTCTTCTGGATCTTCACCATTTCGGTACATGACTTGCAGGGTCAAGAAAGCCCTACCTAATCTGCACCATGAATGACAAGTTACGTATGTACTAGACTTTTACAAAAAGAAAACAAGGGAGAGCTAAAATTAGTAAACTAATTCTGCAGATACTTAAACCCAAAAGCATATGGAGTTTATTTTGTATGAAAGGTTTCTATTAAAATAATTACCTTCCCATTGAATTATGTTTTGTTCAGCACCATAAACTGGGTAACACCGCAGTATAAATTTCAAACAGTTGTTCCAGGAAAGACTAATTAAGTGTGAAAGTTCCTGCCTAACTCAGCATTGGAAATGATATTCCTGTTGTGTTTGGCCTGAGATCCCATTTCCACTATATAAGCTGACAGAAAAGTAATATAGGTTCAAAGTAAGCCAGTGTAAAGTATCTAACGAAGTATTTTATTACACAAAATATCAGACCGTAAGTATGAACACCGATGCCTCACCGATGGAGAAATTAACCAAAAACCTACCCTTTCCCCCCTCCCCCCCAAAAAAAAAGAAAAACATAAACTTACTTGTTGGAACCCCAGGTAGTCCTGGATAGTAGAAGAGACGTAAAAAACCAGAGCATCTGCCGTAACAACTAATACAAAACCATTTAATGCCTGGGGAGGAAACACACCAATCTGTCAGCTTCAAAGACAAAACTTCAGCTAAATTATTGCAGCTGTAACTCTAACTTAGTCTGACAATAAAATTTAAAGCATACAGAACATATCATTATCTAGCAGCCTGAATAGAAGGATTTTTTCCATTGCAAATCTCTACAATGTACATGACACAATAAAGCAAGTTGTGCTTCTAATAAGGAAAAATATTTTTTAGAAAATTCCAAAAATGAGGTCAAGGGAGAGGACAAAGCCCATGGATAACTTCTATTTACTGATGATTGCTGGAGATAAGGGGCAGTAATTCAAACAACTACAGATTTACCTAAAGGTAACTAACAACCAGTTTGCAATGCTTGCACAGCTCAAGACTTCAATATAATTAACTCTGCAGTATAAAACCAAGGCATGTCACCAACGGATTCCCAAAATCTGTTCTATTCATAGTCCAGACAGGCCTAAGTGGACAGGAAATCAAGTGATCAAGATCCTCTATATGGTCCAGAAGACATTTAATAGCTTACTTAAAATAGAAGATCTTTGAGTGCTGCAAGTAAACAATGTTTTTGAAGAGATTTCCCCCTTCATGAGGAGCTAGACTAAGTGGCTCCTCATTCAAAGTCACGCAAAGGGCATTTATCTGAACTCCCAATCAATATGGTCATGGCAATTGTTGTGATAGCAAACACAACATTTGGGACTTGGCAGCTCATCTGAAAGGTGCTGATCTACTTCTATGGGCTTCAGTCAAGATTTAACAAAAGCCTATCTCCAGGGACTCAACTAAGTCTATTGTGCCACTTCACTTCCTCAGCTGCATTCAAACTTCGCCAGTGTACTCAAAAACCTACTTTTAAATCTCTTTAGGATGCAAAGTTATTACAATTGTTCGAAAACATAAGTCAAGGATATCCTATTTCTTAATACAAATCATGATAATATAGTTCGATTATGAAACAGGATCTTTCCTTCACAAACATTAACTCACAGTCCCAAATTGTGGTATACCCCACATTTGCTTTTCCATATTTCCATATCAATATTACCATTTCTTATTCTTTTATTACTAGGCTCTAAATAAGTTAAATATCTGATCAAATGACTGGTTTTTAAGTTCTTCGAAGTGCTCCGATTTAATTTGCAAACATTTCTTAATCCATGCAATTCACAGCCCTTTAAAACATCCTTCCATAAATTTAGTACATTATATCTGAAAACAAGAAGGTCTAACTCTCACAGCAGGAGTTTAAAATATTTGGAATTAAAGTGTTAAACCAAAAAAATCTGTGATTTTAGAGCAGTGTCACATTGTAGTTGCGTAAAATCCTTCATCTTCAAAACCCGTTTGGACGCAGTCGGTAAAATCCTTCATTTTGCTAAAGCTTATACCAGCGGGATGGCAGGTGTTTCTCAGCGTATTTCACTTCCTATGGTTGAGGTCAGGTTCTCAATACAGATGGAAAGGCAATATATACAAAACCATTCATTACTGGGGAGAGTTAAGATGTTTTAAAAACCTCTTAGAAGCCAAAAAATTTCATTTGCATGTCATTTCATAAGCTTAGATTACACTAGATCATGTATCTATATAGACATCTTGACATAAATAAATACTTTTAAGGGAGATGCAGCTTAATTTTGAACTATGTATTTGATCTTCACTCCCACAATGCACTGAACTGGTAAGGAGAAGTTGCTGTTTTGACAACTAATGACATTACAATTTTTCTATTTGTTATGAAGCAGATGGGCAAATAGAAACATGCATAAACAACTGAGATATTCATACGAAGTTTGCAAACAATACAAATAGAAGAGTAAGAAACTGTTCATTGTCATTTTTAGTTTACAGAAACCTGAGTGGCAAAAAAGACTTTTGAGCTTAGGTATAAGAAAAGGTTGTGGCCACTACTGATATTGAATTTTAAATACCTTCCATAAAATTCCAATTTTACCACACAGCATTTTTTACATTCCTAGAGCGAAGTCTACCATTTTACTCATTCGTGGCAATTATTTTTAATACAAAATATTAACAAATAAATTTATGAAATACAGTTAATTTGCTTACTTCCCAAGGAAGCAGAATTTACATTAGTCAATATATAATCTATTTCACTTTCATATTGGAAAGCAGTGCGATAAAACAGCTTCATTATGTAATTTACATTTGAAAATCACAAAAATAACTGTTTTACAGCAAACATATACATGTCTCTAGCATAAATATAATCTGCCCCTTTTCTCTGACATTTTCTATTTGAATGAAAACTGTTCACTTCTAAAAACCCTGTAACAGTTACCACTAACCTACTTACTTGATTAATGTTAGGATAGGAAAGTACATGCATCCTATTTTTTTAGTCAGGAAACTATTTTCCACTAGCATTAATCTACAGTAATTGTTTTGTAGGATTCTTTTGAACTGTTTTTAGCTCTGCCTTTTGATCTGTAGCTCTTTTTTTGTTCTATTTAAGAAAATCATCAACTCTGGCTGACCTGATAATCTGACACTTCAGATAAGTCAGTGTGAAAAATGTGTGTACAAGACAGATTATGAACATATATCAAATGGAGCTGGAGGAAGTAGTAAAAACTCATTCTGTGAAACCATTTAGAACTTTGAGATGTTTATATTAATCATCTCTTATATTTTAATTGGGGCACACTAATGTATCATTATATTTTATGCGCTTTGACACTATGACATTAAAAATTTAAATAACCTATTTTTTTACTATTATTTTCCTAGAAGTTATTGAAGGCATTTAAAAATCTGTACTTTCAAACCACAGAAAGCAAGATCCTCCAGCAAGACCAAGGCCTTCCAAAGGGAAATAGTTTATTTTAGATATCTAGAAAAATTATGACAACTAGACATGATGATTAACCTATCAGAACTTATTAATAAGACTGTCTTTGTTTATATCACCTATATTAACAATAGATGGAAAGAGGTGGGGAAAAGAAAAAACAGAGCGCTGAGCAAATAAGAGTTTTTAACAGGTTCCTGTAGTCTAAAACTAACTCTTCAAAGTCACTAGTACCTCCAGAGGAAGGTGAAAGACCTGCATAATAATGACCTAAAGAAAATGAGGCAATAGTTTGACAATAGGAAAACTTTCAATTTCATCACTGAGGCAACTAGCACATCAAATAAAACACTACTTATATTATTTAAATCTTCTTATAGAAGACAGCAAAACACACCTGCAGCAAGAGCTCTCCTTCCAGGATCTGCATCTCTTCTCCATTTTTTGTTGGTCTACTGTTTTCCTGGATACCATTTCTTTCTGGTTTTGCAGAGTTAGAAGACCTTAATGCAACTACAAAACAAAAGAACAGAAAAGCTATTTTGTGAAGAAAAAATAAAATTTTAAGATGTTTTTAAAGTCAATCTAAAAAGAATTATTTGTCTCAATACCAGGCTTTTCTCCCCTACCTTTAAAGATACCCTCCCAACCTTGCAGTTATTTTCCTTCTCAACTGTAATACTTTCACAACAGAATCAGTATTATTGAAAACAATCCAAACCTACTTAACACAATAGCGCTCTTGTATTTTGTGTCCCGCCGCCCTGCGTTTTAACTTCTCTCTCTCCTGAGGCGTGCCTTTCGTTTGTCCCTCTTCTTTTTAAAGGGCATTTTTGTTTTCAGAGAACAAACTCATACAGCCTGGTAACAACATACACTGCTGTACAGCACGAGAACACTCCGGCTCTGTGTATCTCACCTAACTGCAGACATCTAACTACGGTGTCTCAGATATGAGCCTGCTATTGAGCTCAGTAAAGGGGAGAACACAGGAACTTTAAATGCATATTATACATTCAAAAAAACATGAAGTAAGGAACCATTTTAAACAAAAGGGCTTTATTCTGCCATAGTTAAAATTTAACTATTTAAACCATTAAGCAAACTTTCCAATTTCAGGTAAACCACTATAACTATGACCATTAACCATAACCATAAACATTATTCATGCCGCAAACTTAACTGATTTGAAAAAAATTACTCAAAGCATACGGAATATGCCCTGTATGTTGTAGCAGGCAGGACCTTGTTAAGTAAAACTAGATCCTCAAACATTCTCTGTAACTCAGAGTTTATCTATGTTGCACAGGGTGCAAAAAAGAGTTCGCATGTTAAAATTAATCATTTTATCTGGATCTGCAATGTCTAGACAACCTAGAATTACTTGAGTAATTGTACAGTAAATCTATACCTTAAAGCTACAACCTCCCCCCCGCCCAAATTACAAGAAATTTCTAAAAGCAACCGCACTGCTGTAAAATACTGTAGCAAGAGCTTTATTTGCTAGAGATTAGATTTTTACCCTAAATCCAAATGATTTTTCAATCCTGCTTAACCCCTTCATTTTCAGCTTCCTAGAACTTTAGTCAATGATCTGAAAGAATTTCTGTTCAGTCACTCTTCAACGAGGTTAAATGATATTTTACGCTAGGAATATTAACTGAGAGATAAATGACACTTTTCAGGTTTTTTCTTTTTAAGCTTTCACTACAGCTATCACAACTTTTAAGTCAGACAGTTTTCATTAAAATACCCCTCAAAGGCACCACAGAGAAGTATGTTCTAAAGACATTAACTGATTAATCAGTCAGGAATTTATCTGTTGTGAGACTTCTTTGAAATAAAAACCTTAATGCTCCTTTTCTTGCCCAATATGCAAAAGCTTCTGCACTAGGCCACACAGAGTGGCAACAATAAATTCATTTTTAATCAAGTCTTTGGAAGATATAACAATATTCTACCTACAAATTATCTTAAAACATCTTAATTATCTTAAAAGACAACCACAATATTTATTAAAAAACCCTAGAGCTCCCTAGCAATAGAAGAAAAATTGCTTTTTTCATGCCTGATGTTCCAAAAAATAGCATATACCGCTATTTGTAGCATTTTTTCTTTTATAATATGCTAATAATAAATGATGCAAGGAATCATGCAAGGCTCTCTACTGAATCATCTCTTCGCCCACCAACTCATAGCTTGCTACGGAGCTCAAACACAGCCTACACTCCAGTATGGCTATATTACACATAGTTTTAAAAGCCTGCACATAGGTACACATGAACATCAGTGTTTTGCCAATTGGGAACTAAGCATTCTGCAGAGATTGGAGTATGAATGAGCACAAGCTGTTGTAGCCTAACACAGATGGAAAGATTGCTGACAAACTGGGATGAAAAATACGATAACCTCCCAGGGGCTTTGTTCTGCCAAATAAATCCCATGCCTGGTCGTGCCTGCTACAAGGCCCCCAGTAACAGGTTTCTGGGACTTGCTTCCCAAACTCCTGCAGGCAGGGGGAAGAGATGGCGTCACAGGGGACGTGGCATTTTGAGTCTTTGGACATGTGTCAGTAAGTGACAACCCTGAAACACTCTCATGCTTTCAAAGACTACATTAGAGGAAAGGTTATCAATTTACTGTTTTATCTACCAAAAAGTAAGGTTTCCTTATATCAGGCCTCTTCTCAATTTCAATTCATCAAAAGGTATAGGTCAGAATCAAAGTCCAGATGTTGCTTAAGTAGGTGCGCACTTCACTTGATTTCATTAATTTGATGCCCACAGAATGAAAGCTAAACCCCATTTAGAGAATAAAAATTAAATCCTCTTTAGCTGCTATTATGGAAAAAAAAAGCCAATTTCACCAAAAATTAAAAGTCAAATCACCCAGAAGAAACAGAAAAGTCTGAATGACAAGCAGAGAATTGAGGATTTTTCAATAATTTTCAAAAGCTCTAACATTCTAAACTTAGAAAAAAGAGTCCTGATTAGAAAAAATAAAATAAAATAAATAAAGAGAGCGAGAGAGAGAAAAAATAGTCAGGGCCAGGTTAACAGGTTAACCCTATCATTGTTAGTAGGAACTCACAAGTATTAACCAAACAGATAACGTTAACTGAGCTCATTTCTCTCTCAAGAGCAATGCTGCAAGAGCTATATCCTTTAGCAATCCCTTTTCCATAATTCTTCTGTGCTAGAAAAGGATGTGTATTTTAAATAGAATTACTTGCTGATGGATAATTTTATTAATAAGAATAGTTTAAATAAATTAATATACTTCAGTAGATAGGAAATGGGTAAAATGGGGGAAGGAAGGAGGGAGGAAGACTCATCAGTCTATGCCAAAGCGCATAGAAGAAATCTGTGTCCAACCACAAGGATCATAGGAAACAGCTTTCGAGTAGTTGGAACAAAAGGAATACGAACAACAGAATTTGTTCATACATTTCTACAAGTGCTTTCAACAGGCAAAAGTCTAAGATGATTCCTAGTTCAGTAAACAGTACTTGCAAGGTAGCATGACAAACATGTGGGCAACTTATCCAAATATTACCTCAGTTATCACAGCCTAGTGCAAAATCAGAAATGTAATTGGGGACCTCTCAATGCCTCTAACTCATATAGTCAGATGAAATAACCACAACAGCTCACTGCTCTTAAATCTGTGAGTCTCTCAATTTTGTACAGAACGCATTTCAGCCTATCACTCTGACTTTTGGTGACAGGCTGTGAAAACATGAATAACCCAATAGAGTAAATATGTATAGATTTAATAACTAGAAACATTTTCTGCCCTAGAAGACATGTGAGATGCAATCAAGTTGCTTCTTTGCATTTTCCTGTAATAACTTTAAGGAAATAAAAATAAGAGACACAATTGTTTTCTTTGTAAAAACAAGTGATTTTCTGCTACATGTTTTTAGCAGCAGTTATATGCATAAGCATTTCAAGTTAATGATTGTCACTTAATCCTATGTTCAGCAACATGCACCTTTTATATTGCCAGGATTTTCCTGATTTAGTAAAAACTAAATGCCAGTGACAACAAAATGAGGTAGCGATCTTTAATAAGTTTTGTAAGCACAGAACAGCTTTATAGTTTCTGGTACATTAGGTTTACAGTTGTGAAAATCAATGAGCTAGTGCCTGTCCCAGCAAATGGAGAAGATACCAACTCAGTTTTACATTGTATCTGAGATGACAAATTAAATAATGATGGTGTTTACTAGCTTCTCTCTATTAAACTTGTATAACAGAAGATTTGTACAGAGAGGTAATACACCTCTCTGTATATATCTAGGGGGAAAAAAGTTTTCTGAAAAAAAAGCAAAAAAGCAAAATTTTAGCAACACAGTTCCAACTGCAGACAAAAGATGTCTCTTGCTTTAAAGACAGAAAAATAACTGCTTACTGAAAAATGATTTTTTAGTATGAAGAGGCTCGTCTAGAAGAAAGTCTTTCTTTCCACAGAATATAGCATTCAGTATGAGAAGATATGCTTGAAGATATGTGCTAAACTGCATGAGTAATGCGCTGAATCCACCAATAATACATGATAGAAAGATGCATTTCATTAACTCTGGCGAGTTATTCAGAAATAAATCTCCCTGTTCTGATGCAGTAAACTCCTTTGAAGCCGCTGGAATGGTAGGACTAAGGATACATCTAGGTCCTGATGGGTCTTTCTGAATGCATTTCCCTCAGTACAGGACTTACCGCTTTCACCTTTCATGGGGGAACTAAGACACATTTCACCTTAACTGCAATTACTCAAATAACCCTGCTGGAAACAGTGCTTTCAGGCTCTTCCCTCATTAGCTGTAAGCAGTGATGAGTAAATCAACAGAAGGTTTTATTAAGTAACAAACTTAATCCCTAGCAATTTGAACACAGCAAAGAATAATATAATAAGAACGATTAAAGAAAAATAAAAAGTGTATCCATCATCTCACTTTGCTTTGATCCTCTCAATTTTTCAACAGAGACCCCAGGCCAGTGTTTTTCATCTTCAGAAACTCGATCTCTGGGGTTTCTGCCTGGTAGAAATGCTTCCCATCCACAACCCGCAATAACTCTTATCCTGTTCCTTCCAGGCTGTCACTCCTGTTCTCAAAAAGGACCTTTCTCATCATTTCCTCACTTGAGAAATAGCTGCTTTCAAGTCCCATCTTCTGTATTTTATTGAGTTTGCAAAAAATCAAAGACCATGCAGTAATCTGAAGCTACTGTCCCCATTCCCGAGCACCGTCAGAAGGAATCCTGTAAATGGAGATTCCTTTCCCTCTTCACAAGTTACAGCAGCAGAGAATCAAAACATTGTCACAGAGGAAGTGCAAATACACTCTGACATACTTAAGATGGCAATATGTGGACCAATTCTTTCAAAGTTAATAAAATAACTGAAGAAACAGAGAATTCAGAGTAAAGTATGTCAGCACCTACCTAGCCAACTGAAGGGTATATTTACCACAAATGCTTACCTAGTTTACCATTACATTGAGAATATATTAT